CACCCCACACACAACCAGGAGAAAATGACACCAACAGAAGAATAGCAGGTTCTGAGTTGAGCTGCTACAGCATCGACATGTCCAGCTTGAATTAAGGAACGGGAATGGTTCAGAGCAGGCCAAAGGCTTTCTGTTGGTCTATATATTTTATTTTCCTCAATTGGCCTCCTCTTGCCCTACTCTCCAGAGCTGAACTTCTAGATCTTTCCTTTCTCTTCTCCCCACTCCACAAACTTCAAACCTGGAACGTCAGGCCTTAGGCTGAGCCCTCTTTTCTGACACATCCGAAATACTACGGATCACTCGCAGCTGCTTGAGGGAGAAGGAGAATAGCTATGAAAACAGGTCCATGTTACAGGGACATAGAGGACCGGCGGGCGGGTGATTTGAAACAAAATACATCCCCACACACAGTTGGTAGATGCTTAAAAACAGCTTCCGTGGTTGGGCAAAGCAGCAGAAAATGAGCCAACTAAAGATGTGTCCTAACCACGAGCAGGTGTTCGCTTTGCAACAAGAAAAGGCCCTGTGTCCTGTGGGCTTGCTGCCATGTCCCTCTGGAACTGCTGGCTGATCACCAGCCAGGCCAGTGAGGTCACTGCATCTCCAGCGGTAGATGGCACATAGCTGTAGACATTCCAGGAATCAAAAAATGAGAAGAACAAAAAAGTAATGCAAGTTCGGGTTATTCTTCAGCTATGAGGACCTGGACAACGCAGCTCAAACCCACGAGGCCAGAGGACAAGGGAATAGCAGGTGAGCAGACATAACGGACTTCAGCGAAGACCACAGGCAGGGCCAAAGGGTTTTCAAAGCTCCTCCAGTAATCATGAAGATTAGGCCAGGGTAAGCCTGCTGCCCAGGAAATCAGTCCTGCTCCTGATCTCTGAAGAGAACAATAAGTTTCCTAAATTATCATTTTCTCTGCATGCACACCTGCAAAAAGCTAATTTGGGGGAAGTGGGTGGGGGGTGGAATCTAGACCCCTAACCAAGGATGGCCAGCCCTGGAAGGTAGGCGGCTGACTCAAGTTAAACATTTCCAGCCAGAGAAATTCAATGTCCTTTTCCGACTGGTCGGCATGTAATGCATTGTTTTTCCCCCACCTCCTCTTTCTGAAATCTCTTGGTTGCATGCAAATGTTTTCAGGACCCTCTTGCCAAGAGGCGAGTGCTGTTTATTTGGCCATGGATGCTGCTTATGGACTCGAAAGAAGTATCTGAACTTGTCAGTGAATGTCTTTGGGTTCCTTTTGGCCTAAGAGCTGTCAGCACAGGGGTGGGTAGTGCAGGGCAGGCTGCAGAAAAGGGGAATGGGA